CCCCAAAACCCCAAAACCCCAAAACCCCAAAACCCCATTAAGTAGTCATAGATATATAATGAGAATGCGAATAATAATCGTTGAGAATATTCTCAGCACATCATAGAACAAAGTGAAGAAGAATCGTTGAAATACTCAATTAGTTCATAGAGATGTATGGAAGGGGGCATGGCGTAATTGGTAGCGCGTCTGACTCCAGATCAGAAGGCTGGGTGTTCGAGTCACTCTGTCCTCACTTCTTTTTTATTTTCTTTAATTTTTATAAATCTTATTTATTTCTTATAATAAACAAACAACTACGATAAATACTCACTAAATAGATAATCAATCAATTGTACCCTTTTTTATTTCCGAAACGACCTGATGCTCCTGAACCTGAAATTGTGTTACTATTTAAATTATTCGTTGATCCAAAACCTTTCATAGTGTTTGAGGAAACTCTAGCAGTTCCATTCAACCCTGACCCAGATGATGCACCTTAATTTGCTGGTTTCCCTTTATTTTTAATTGCATTTTCTTTGGCTTTATTAGTACAGATGGGAATGTGACGAGCAGCTGCTGTCTCATTGAATTTTCTTTAACAGCCTGGGCATTACTTGATAGAGGGGTCCTCGTAAGTTTATGCGGCTGCTGAGTTAATTGCTGATGAATACTCATCACTAGGGTTAGATGATCCGATGGCTTATCTGAACTAGAGAGACATCATCTTCCATTTTGGCATTTTAGCTCCTGTACCTGATATCGGCTAATCTTAAGCTTTAGCTTTAGGGTTTTATTTCTTTTAATTCTACAATTTTTCTTATTTTTCTGATTTTTTAACCAGCTCTACTTAATCATCACATACTATTCTTTTTTCTTTCATGTCAAAAGCCTTTCTCTTTTTGACGAAAACATCTTAGCAAATTTTTACATGCTTCTCATATGCTTTCTCATTAAACTTTCTATTGCAAGTAGGACACTCCTCGAGAGCAGACGTATCTTAAGTCAAATAAGCGGGCGGGGCTTTTGGTTTATCTTCCTTAATCTAACTTCGAGCCGGACTATTTGTCTGATCTTTGAAATGTTATCGAGATGTTTTTGATTGAGTAGTTGATGGCCTATAATCCTCCTCATTGTTGTCTTACTACTAGTCCTGATAGTTGTAGTCATTTGGGTTAAATGCTTTACGATAATTATCATTTCTTTTATCTCCAGCATTTCTGTCTTAGTTCACCTAAGTCTTATTATTGTATTTTTAGTCTTAGGTTAACTTATCTCCAACAATATCAGATCCCTGCCTGCGATATTGAGAATGAGTATCAGTTGACATAGTCTTTTAACTAACTACACTATTCTAGCTTCTAGGTCCTTTAGCACTTTCGAGCCTTTTCTATTCTAGCTTTTGTTTAAGACTCTTAAGATCTCTCTAAGCATTCTGAAAATCTTTTTGACTGTAATTACTCACTGATATTTCTAGCTTTTTATTTTATGGTTATCTAGGTTGCATAGTCTTCGATTATTGATAAGGTGGTTGGATCTCCATGTCATTATCTCTCAATCTCTGGGAGGGTTGTTGGTAAGTCATCATGTTTCCAGTGTGAAGGGCAGTCTAGCTTTTCTGCTGTGTGGCTTATTTTAGCGTGGTGATTTGTTATGAATTATTAGTATTTGAAAATTCTTCATAAAGATTTTTGCTATAATTTATCGAATTCCCAGGCATTTAATTCAAGTACTTGGCGTAGGGGCTTGCCTGAGTATTAGTATTAGGGATTGCAAAAGGTTACTATGAGCGGTTATAAATCTCTTTTGGGTACTGATTCTAGGGCTATTATTGAGCAGAGTACTGGTAATTGTAAGAATATTGTTAAGTTTGCTAAGTCTTACTCTAATATACATTCATTTTTATTTAAAATTTAAAATTTCAACAAACCTTAAAGACGATTCATTAGGGGTTTTGGGGTTTTGGGGTTTTGGGGTTTTGGGGTTTTGGGG